TTGATTCTAAACAAGCCTTTGATACTGTCTGGCGATCTGGTTTGTGGTCCAAAGTGTTTAAAAGTGGTATAGATGGTAAATGTCTAAGATTTATCAAAAATATGTACAGTGGTATTAAATCGAAGATATATATTGATCAAAATATCTTAGAATTTTTCATGTGTAACCTTGGGGTAAGACAAGGGGAAAATATATCCCCATTTCTTTTTACTTTCACATTAACGATTTAAAAAACTATTTATTGCAGAATAATATTGAAGGGGTTACGAGCTTTAGTGAAAAATTAGAAATTGAAATGCAGATTATGTTTAAACTATTTATACGTTTTTATGCTGATGACACAGTTTTATTATCTGATAATCCAGAGGATTTACAAAGATCTTTGAACATTTTTTCTGATTATTGTGACCATTGGAAGCTTCAAGTAAATACAGACAAGACTAAAATAGTAATTTTTGCTAGAGGAAGAATACCAAAGAAAATATTTTTGTATAGAGGTGCACCAATTGAAATTGTGAATGAATTTAAATATTTAGGTGTTATTATGTCTCGTAGTGTTTTTTTTTTCAGAAGTGCCAAAACACATTTAACTAAACAAGCATCAAAAGCCATGTATGGAGTACTTAGAAAAATAAGGTATTTTAATTTGCCAGTAAATTGTCAAATAGATCTCTTTGACAGAGTTATAACCCAATTTTGATGTACGGGTGTGAAGTATGGGGCTACGAAAATACAGATATTTTAGAAAAGGTACACTTAAAATTTCTGAAATTTGTTTTACATGCTAAATCCAGCACTCCAAATTGTATGGTATAAGGGAAACTGGGCGATACCCTTTAATAATACGTATAAAGGTACGAATGATTACTTATTGGGCTATAAACTTTTGATGTCACATGAACGTAAGTTTACATATATAAGGTATTGCTTTCTCCATAAATGCTTTTCTGAGGGTTTATTTATGCATTCATGGTTGAAATGTATAAGAGATAGTTTGAATTCATGTGGTCTGTCTTATGTGTGGATGAATCAAATTTTTTTTAGTATTTCTTGGTTAAAATCTATTGTGAAAGAGACATTGTTAAGTCAATTTTTACAAGACTGGCATATGAGCATAGAAAATTCATCTAAATGTTTAAATTACAGGATTTTAAAAAAACAATTTCTGACGAGAAATGTACCTAAGTAAACTCCCAAAAGATTTGAGAATTATATTGACAAAATTTAGACTTTGTAACCACAAACTTCCAATCGAAGCTAGTAGATGGACTAATACTGACAGATCTTTAAGAATATGTAATTTATGTAATAAAAATACTTTAGGTGATGAATTCCATTACGTAATGGAATGTCCATACTTTTCCTCATTACGTATGAAACTTATTGATATGAAGTACTGTTTTCATGTAAATACTTATAAGTTTGAGAATCTTATGTCCACCACAAATGGTGACTCACTGGTAAAGCTGTCTTTGTTTGTTAAAAAGATATTGGCCTATTTTCAGTAATACTATTTCATTTGATACTACTCTTCCTTATTTGACTTTGTATTTTGTATATATGTAAATATGTTCATGTACCTCATATACCATTGTATGGTCTGAGAGAAATAAACAAACTTAAAAGAAAGAAAGAAGGGGAAAATTGGCTCTCCCCGTGAGATTTCCCCTCGGGGGAAATCATACTCTAGAGTACAGTTTCCGCGGGGGAAAAGATGACTATTGGGGAAATCCTCCCCTACAACGGCCTTCAAACATACGGGTACACTGTGTTACATGTATCTCCATGCGTATCTTTATTTTTCTACGTAATGTATTTTAAAAAAATCCTTGACTTTGACCTAAAAATTTGTCATTGTCTACGATCATAAAATTAAAGTTGGTTAACATCAGGAAATTAATGTCCAAATCTGATTTCATAATGAAAAACAAAACTCTGTAGAAAAGATAACAGGTTTCAAATATAAATAGAAGATCTTAAAATTTGACTCCGTGACAAAGTATCAAATGACAGAATATAACATTATAGATGCATTGCAAGCCAGAGGAATGTCTTCACAAGCCCTTGTTTTTTTTTTTTGTTTTTTTTTTCACGATGAAACAAGATGAAGGTAGTTTTCTTAAGTCATTTGATATGTATATTGTACAGTATACTTGTTGAGAAAAAAATGTACATGAATTATGTAACATTCTTTTTGTGCCCAGTATCAACTTAAACAATTAATATAAGGGCTTTAAAACTATAGTGAAAAAAAAAGTTCCTGTTTGCTCATCTTTTGAAAGTCATGAGCTATATATACTCGTTCATTTTTGTTTTATTCATGAATTTCTTTTTCTTTTAGATTATGATAGTGCATTTTAAGTTATGTCAAAATTAAAAAAAACAAAAAAAACAAAACAAAACAAAACAAATAACAAAACAAAAACAAAAAACAAAAACAAAAAAAAAACAACAAAAAACAAAAAAAAAAAAAAAAAAAACAAAAACAAACAAACAAACAAAAAATTATACAAATGGCATCAACGCTTTTAAGAATAATAAAAATATACCCGGATTTTTTATCTGAATTTTAATTCGTAAGGGAATTAACATTTAATGAATGCTTCACAGATACGGTTAAGTGCGTTATTTTTAATGTGCAGCAGTTAATTCTTAGAATTTATAGGCAAACCGGGTGTTTTATTTTATTGAAAATAAAAGTGCTTTAATGTGTCAAATAACGTTATTTTTATGGCCATTGATTGAAAAGCTGAAGATATGAATTTAGAAACCGATTTATTCTCATGCTTTTCTCAGATTTATAAAAAATAAGATGACTAATTAATTAAGAATTCTACAATGTCGAAATTACAGTTTTACTTAGGAAAGTGTGTTACTAATTTGATTATATGTCATACTTCATATTTGATATGTGTTTGACAATTCTTAAGGATACACCAAAGGTTTTTTTTAAATTTTCAACAATTTTGAGATTTTTGGCTAAGAAAAAGAAGTTAATCACTGCTTTATAATGCATGCAAAATTCTGGATAATTAAATGGTTTTCTAATTATTTAACAATAATGAAACATAAACACTACCACATGTGAATTTTCCGTTATTGAAGCTTCTGATTTGATCTGTGACTGCCTGCTCATGAAAGATGCAATAAATCACTGTGACCACTTGGGGAATTCTACACTAGCCACACAGAGGTTATCAGTAATTGAACTACAGGGACTCTAGAATTAGAGAAGGAGATCTAACAGATCACTGATGACCATAAAATAGGAGGTGGAGCTTAGCTCTTGCCATTTTGCCGGGAAATCTTTCTGATTCAGAATTGAACCTATTTTACTTAATTAAAAGCATCTAAATACAGAAAAGAACCTCCCATTCTTGTACATATGCATAGGAAATATGGCTAAGTGACAGGTATCCAAAGCTGAATCTCCAAGGTGTCATATATTTCTAGCTTTGGCAGATTTTGTTGTGTAATGGGTTTTTGCCCTCTACTGTAAAGTAAGATCAGACAGTTTGTGGTATTATTTCAAAGGATTCAGCTCCCTTATTTATTGACCAATTTCTCTGAAAATTGGATGGGATACTTCCCAAATGTGTGTTCACAAAACCGTATCTCAGATTTTTGATATCTAGCTTAGTTTTGGAATTATTGAGGGAAATGTTAAATTAGGCTAATTAATTGATAATATTGAAGAGCAAATGGCTGTAACTTTTGAATTAGAAGATTTATCAAAAATCTGAGATACAGTTTTTAAGTTCAATCTTTAATCTACCTTGAGGCAAATTGAGCACTTTGAGGGGTTAAATACAAAAAAGTTGATTTATAAAATATTTATGCACTAAAATTTACATTAACATTTAAATAATTTTTAAATAAGTTATTAATTAAAGTTTAAATTAAGATAATTAAATAGTAAATTTAACAAGCTTTCAAATGATATATACTTTTATTATGTTATCTTTGATAATGAAAGAATTACATGTAAATTAAATTCTGGCATTTGGAAACCTTTGGTGTATCCTTAAAAAGAGATGCAATTGTTTGAATTATATATTTAAGAATTTTTAAGAAATCAAAAGCACTGAACTTTATTATTTTACCTATTAATTAATCGGTTAAATAATCAAATTATGGGAGAATCGTTCATACAAAAGACATTTGACGGTTAACCCTTCAAAACACATATACATGTATATAAGAGATTCTTTAATTATAATTTTAAGTACTTAACTGAAACCGTAAGTCGATGCACTATACGGAAATTAAAGTATTATTCTGTATCTGTTCCCAGTCTGATTGTAATAAATTAAACTTTATACAGATTAATTGCACTGAAAAGCAATGAATTAAACAGAAAGAAACACTGAGATGAAATTTGATCAGAAATTCTCTAGATTGATCAACAATTATTTTTGATAAATATTAAATATGAGACTAGTACCTCTATGAGGGTTGGAAGGTCTTTACAGAAAGTCTTTAATATACATATACGTGTATTTATGCATCTACATTTCCGTGGATCTCCTCAATAATTTGTTGATAACCCTGCCTCATTAACAAGCGATATCAAAGACATTTTTAAAAAAGAGACGAATATCATAAACTTTCTTTTGGTTATACAGAGTGCTTAAAATCAGCATTAGTAATTAGGCAATCAATGAGAATGCGGAGGTGGGTCATTTTCAATTAAGTGCTCTAAGAAATGTTTCAGAAAATGATTTTCTTTGATTTTGCAAACATTATTCAAGGAAAAGGGTTGTACGTTGTTCCTATTATTTCGTCATTTGTGTTAAAGTTTAGAGTTGTATGCATTAAGTTAAATATGTATCAGCTTTAAACTGTGCATACAATATTTTATTTTGAAGATTTTCTGTTAAATTTAAGGCCTCATAAACAGAAGTGTAAAAACATTATACGTAGTTTTAACACACTTCAGATAAATACCAATGAAATTTGAACAGTATTCATAAATAAGTACACAACAATATAATGTTCTGAGGCATGAATTTATTAAACAATAAACTGTTTTTATTAATGTACACGGGGGTGTAGGATTGCAACATTGCAGAAATTTACGTCTTTGAGTTATTCTGATTTATTCATACAGACTGGCTTTCATAATTATAAGAAATTCATTGGATGCAGCAATAACTAGGATCGTAAAATTTGGACACTCCACATAAAACTTATACTTTATCTGTAAACCATTAATATAATGAGACATACATTACAGATTAAAATTTAAATTAAACATTAAAAAAAAATACAAAATGCAGACAAGAGGCCCAGGGGGCCTTGAATCGCTCTTCTGATAAACTGTACAACCTATCACTTCTATTTGAAGCCTCTAAGTATCCTGTACATTTAGATAAACCCTTGAAATTCCAATTCACACTCTGAGAACCCAAGATGATTTTAAGCCAATTAGTACCCAAAATATTTAATTAAAGTCATAAATTTTCAAAAGTAGGTCACAGTGACCTACTTTTCAGTCAACCTACTCCGAGGACCCTAGATGCATAAACTGACAAATTTTGATGATTCTAAGCCAAATGGTACCCAAAAATATTAAATACAGCCAAAAAATTTCAAAAGTAGGTCATGGTGACCTATTTTTCAGTTGTCATACTCCAAGGACCCAAGATGCATCAACTGACAATGTTTGATGATTCTAAGCCAATAAGTACCTGAAATATTTAATTAAAGCCATAAATTTTCAAAAAGTAGGTCATGGTGACCTACTTTTCAGTTGTTGTACTCTGAGGACCAAAGATGCATCAACTGACAAAGTCTGATGATTCTAAGCCAATAAGTACCAGTAATATTTAAATAATGCCATAAATTTTCAAAAGTAGGTCACGGTGACCTACTTTTCAGTCAACCTACTTCGAAGACCCAAGATGCATCAACTGACAAGGTTTGATGATTCTAAGCCAATAAGTACTAAAATATTTAATTTAAGCCCTAAATTTTCAAAAGTAGGTCACGGTGACCTACTTTTCACTCGACCTACTCCGAAGACCCAAGATGCATCAACTGAAAAAGTTTGATGATTCCAAGTCAATTAGTACCTGAAATATTTAATTATAGTCATATAAATTGACACAGGTCACAGTGACCTACTTTTCAGTTGACGTTTTCTGAGGATCCAAGATGCATCAACTTACAAAGTTTTATGATCATAGGCCTTAAAATGTCCAAATTATGCCTCTAAAATGCTTTGAAATCGAATGCCTGCAAAGTTCAAAAAGCAGGTCATTGTGACCTACTATTTAATAAATATGTTTTATGGCCCCAAGATGCATCATCTTACAAGATTTAATGATTCTAAACCTCTCGGTATTCAAATTAATGGCCTTAATTGTTTTGAAAAAGATTAGCCATAAAATTCAAAAAGTAGGTCAAGGTGACCTATTTTTTAGTTGACGTACTTCGAGGACCCAAGATACATCAACTGACAAAGTTTAATGATCATAGGCCTTAAATTGTTCAAAATATGCCTCTAAATCATTTTGAAAAAGAATGGCCGCAAAATTTAAAAAGTAGGTCATCATGACCTACTTTTGAGTCAACATGATATGAGGTCCTTAGATGCATCAACTGACAAGATTTGATGATCCTAGTCCTTATAGTAAGCAAAATGTCAACATTTTAATAAAATGTAATTTTTGGTCAACTTTGAAGTGACCTTGAGACCACGCCCTTTGCCCCAGGGTAAATCCCCATGCAAATTTTAATCTACAACATATCCTCATCCTTTTGTGTAAGTTTGGTGATAATCTGCCACGTGGTTCTTGAGAAGAAGATTTTTTAGCAACCAATACTTTTGTTTTTATTTTCCTATTTATCTCCCCTTGTTTAAGGGTCACAACCCTAGTTTTAGTAAAAACGGGAGCCCTTGGGCCAAGGATACCCTGTGACAAATTTGACAATAATTGGCCAAGGGGTTCTTGAGTTATGGCCCATATTCTAAAAAGTTTACACACACCGCACGCCGCACAAATGGCCATAGCATTAGTTCTTTGAGCCTTTGGCTCAGAAGAGCTAAAAATACTAATGCAGAATGTTACATAAATTTTTAAGGAGTCCTACCAATAAATACAAAAAATGCACAACATAACATTAATCCATTATATACATGTATTACTTTACAAAACACTTCATGGTATGGCACTTGAATATCTGAGATATTCAGGTGTTCAATTCTGGAACAAATTACCTTTACATGTACGTTTTTCACCAACTGCACAATTCTTTTTGTAAAAATATAGAAAAATATATTATTAATTGCTGCAACATTTCTTGATTTGTAACTTATATTTATAATTTAATATGTGTACTTTTTTTCAAATGTATTTCTCCTATGTCATGTACTTGTTAATCTGGTTACTGTTGTTTTGTATTCATAATTGTATAACACATGCATAAAGGGCCCCAAGGAAGAATAGTGCTTGCACTAATCGAGTTAATTTCTTTAAATAAAGTACTATCATTATCATCATCATCATCATTATTATAATCATCTAAACAAAAGTCTATGTGTTCTAATTATCAAATATTTTGTGGCAATATATTTTTTTTAAATCTTAACAATAGTCTAAAAGCGCATGATACAAATAAACATACATTGTACGTATCTTACATTGTAACATACATGTATTAATTTCCTTATAAAGTGAGAATCAAAATCTCACTGGCCTTTGTATTAGCAAAATCAATCTATGCAGAATGCTAAATAGGTAATTGTGTTGTTAATACATGTAATATTCACTTTATATTTAATGCACCAATCCATTTGATAGGAAAGAGAGAACTAAACAGGCACTGAAACTTTACTTAATCTTTAAACTCAACTCTTTATCTAATTATATCCATTATAAACCAAAAAAAAAAAAAAAAAAAGAGAGAGAGAAAGATCTTTGCTGAGTGTAAATCTATGATAAGCATTCCATACTTATTATGCTACAAAATAATCACAAATCTTATTCCCAACCTGTCTTTTCAAATGCTTGTAATTAAAGGATAATACAACATTCAATGATATCCCAGACTAGTAATTTGTTTTCTTCACTATTCTGGGTTTGTTTTATTCATGGTGTTTTACTTATATGTTCAGAGAGACTCAGAGAGTCACTCACTGCAGTATAGAAGGCTTGTTAAAGCTGGTCTCTTTCAGCGGTAATAATGAGAAGCAAGAATATCAATTGTCATATTCAAAGAGAACCATATTCTACAACATGGATAAACAATAAAGATCTCTAGATTAAACAACAGTGCTAACTTATAAATAAAATATTTGTGAAAGACTTTACGACTTTTAAACAATTAATACATGTAAACTGAGTAACAAAAATGAATAAACTTAACAAAAATCAGTATAAATCTATCTGATCCCTAGGAATTATAGACTCAGATTATACATGTACACATCTATCTCATTCTCAGGAATGATAGACTTGGAAGATACATGCAAACATCTTTCTCATCCCTAGGAATGATAGACTCAGATTCTACATGCACACATCTTTCTCATCCCTAGGAATGATAGACTCAGATTCTACATGCACACATCTATCTCATCCCTAGGAATGATAGACTCAGATTCTACATGTATACATCTATCTCATCCCTAGGAATGATAGACTCAGATTCTACATACACACATCTATCTCATTCCTAGGAATGATAGACTCGGGTTATACATGTATACATCAATCTCATTCTCAGGAATGATAGACTCAGATTATACATGTATACATCTATCTCATCCCTAGGAATGATAGACTCAGGTTATACATGTATACATCTATCTCATCCCTAGGAATGATAGACTCAGATTCTACATGATTGTATACATCTATCTCATCCCTAGGAATGATAGACTCAGATTCTATATGCACACATCTTTCTCATCCCTAGGAATGATAGACTCAGATTATACATGTATACATCTTTCTCATCCCTAGGACTGATAGACTCAGATTCTACATGCACACATCTATCTCATTCCTAGGAACGATAGACTCAGGTTATACATGTATACATCAATCTCATTCTCAGGAATGATAGACTCAGATTATACATGTATACATCTATCTCATCCCTAGGAATGATAGACTCAGGTTATACATGTATACATCTATCTCATCCCTAGGAATGATAGACTCAGATTATACATGTATACATCTATATCATCCCTAGGAATGATAGACTCAGGTTATACATGTATACATCTATCTCATCTCTAGGAATGATAGACTCAGGTTATACATGTATACATCTATCTCATCTCTAGGAATGATAGACTCAGGTTAAACATGTATACATCTATCTCATCCCTAGGAATGATAGACTCAGATTATACATGTATACGTCTATCTCATCCCTAGGAATGATTGACTCGGTACATCTATCTCATTCCTAGGAATGATAGACTTGGTACATCTATCTCATTCCTAGGAATGATAGACTCGGATAACCTCTGTGATGTCCTTTCTACAGATCGGACATCCGTCACGACGGTTGTGTAACATTTTGGAGCACTCGTAACATGTGATCATGTGATGACAGGGACACAAGAGACAGTCACGTGCTTTGTTCATACAAATCCCACACTCCGTGTCTACAGTGGTCGACTCTCGGCGACTCTCCTTCACAGGGGCTACATTACCATCATGTGACAGAACGGGGATCTTCTTCTCAAACATACAGGGGATTCCTGAGGAGTTCAGTAATTGTTCCACTCTCACTGAAAATAAATTTAAAAATCCTATATTACTTTAAAATAATCCTGGATTTTATAGGCTGTGTATATAATGGGGCAAGTTAATGGAAAAGGGTTTCTCATTCAAACCTTTGGTTGTCTGCCCATTGTGATTTTAAAGTATAAGATGTAGGTCAAAGTGGCCTCAGTTTGGAATTATATGGCTTTTTTATCTTTCTGACATAATATATATATTCTTCTCTCTCTCTCTCTCTCTCTCTGACATAACTTCTCTCTCTCTCTAACATAATTTACATGCTTCTTTCTCTCTCTCTCTCTTTAATAATTAACTTACATGCTTTTCTTTCTTCTCTCTCTCTCTCTGTAATAACTCATTCTTATCTCTCTCTCTGTAATAACTTACATGCTTTTCTTTCTTCTCTCTCTCTGTAATAACTCATTTTTTATCTCTCTCTGTGTTATAACTTACATGCTTTTCTTTCTTCTCTCCCTCCCTCCCTCCCTCTCTCTCTGTAATAACTTACATGCTTTTCTTTCTTCTCTCTCTCTGTAATAACTCATTCTTATCTCTCTCTCTGTTATAACTTACATGCTTTTCATTCTTCTCTCTCTCCCTCCCTCTCTCTCTCTCTCTCTCTCTGTTATAACTTACATGCTTTTCTTTCTTCTCTCTGTTCTTCAGATAAAATCAGAGGATGATTTCCAGATCTAAAAAATAATGTCTTCCCCATCCTCTCCAGCATCAAACGTACTGCAAGATACATCCAAAAAATTAATTACCAGGTAGCTATAAATAAATCATTATCATCAATAAATCATTTCTTGTGTATTGTTTTCCCTACCTACTGTACATTCTGATAAATTTTTGTCTTGTTTTATTTTTCCAAAGAAAGCCAAGGTTTTAATTTTTATATTCCACTTAATAAAACAAAAATATGTTACTCTTCCTAAGAAAATCAAAGGAGGCCAAATGTGCATGCTCCATTTCTCAAGGTCACAGTTTTAATTATTTTTGACAATAATAAGTTTGTACAGTAAACCAAGTGGTGTAAACCAGCTATCATTAGTGACAATTTTTATTAGTGACTCGTGAGTTTGAAACCCATCCTCGACTATTAAATTTCATGAGTTTGAACTCACCTACGACTATTAAATTTCATGATGAAACTTTTTTTCATTAACATACAAGGAATGGTTTGCGGCATAAATATTCATATGTAAAAAAAAAAAGGATACGAACCTCACGGGTATTTCTTACATACAAATAAACTATTAAAAGTTAGTTCACATAATTTATTGTGTTACCTTTCTGAATTGACTTTTGTGCTGTAAAACTGGCAGGGTTGATTTCTACCTCTGGAATGTAGTACACAGGAAAAAGGAAACGTAGTCCTAGAGATCTCTATAGTGTAAAACCAAAATATTATCAGGCCAAAATAAAAAATACCTTTGTTTCCCCTAACGCGACCGACCCACTTAAATCGTGCCGACTGAAAAGTTTTTTAATAAGATTATTTAAATATTTTTTTTCATTGTTTATCAAATTTATAAAATACAATTTCATCAAAATCCGTTTTTTATCAGAATGGCGGCTTTTGTTTTACTCTCATTTGGTGCCGACAACATGTGGCCACAGAGGGTTAGTTCGTGTTGTAAAACAATGGTGACGTATCAATCTTATTATATCTTTAACTTATTAGAATCCTACACTCTTGAGACATCTCGTGAATTAATGTACCATGACTAAGAAGTGTTAAGATGGTATTTAAAAATGTGTCTTCTAAAATTAACGTACGTAGTAAGCATAGCAAAGCCTGCCTCATGAGTAGATGAGGGGCGCTCCTTGTGAATACATATCAATAAATTTCACTGCATTTGATTTGTTTCGATCTAATAAACAGTTCATGTATGATCCTATTTTTACTACAAAGGACCATAGGAGTTGTAGATATGTCTTTGTATGATTATTTCATTTGATGAATATAATTCAGATGTCGTTTCTTTATTCCTTTTATTTATGGGGTATTGACTCCGTGACTATAAAATTAGATATATGAAACTTTAATCATTTTAGATATGGATTGGTTGAATTATATATTGTTTATACATGTACACTATTTCCAAATAGCGTTGATATCTTTAAAATCTGCTTATGGTACGGCTTCCTGAGACGTCCAGTTTATTTTCTTTAGTTAGGCCCTTGAAAACAGGTTGTTTCTTTGCTTAAAATACCTTTAAAATTTGTTGGGCCGGTGGAGGGCTCTTAATTCAGACTTTTACTCGGCACTTATGGCCTTTGATCATTAAGCATCAGTAAGGGATCTTTTACGTGCCATCTACATTTATACTCCGACACTGGACCTACGTTTTTTATGGTCTTATTCGACTGACCAGTCTGCAAGTCCCACGTCGGGACCTGTGACTTAGAATTAGCTCCCGAGTTACGTCATGACTCCAAAACGAAACACTAGAATTACTGTGCCACGCGAGGCCCTTGACATTTTGTCTGTGTAAGTTCTCGAAGATGATAGTAGGTTTGAAAAATGTACTCGAATGTCCGATGGTTCAGTATTTGCGAATCTTGTGTTTTTCGTAAATATTCTATTTCAATAAATTTACGCTGGCCTGAGATATTTTACAAGTTCAAATGAATAATATTTGTGAATTAATTTACCATACATATTGCTTCATTTGTATGATATTCGGTTTAAAATTGGTTTCTTCTGTTCTTTCTTATAAAGATATTATTCAATTTTTCAGAATGTATTCCAAAACCTGCTGTCAGAAAAAAAAAATAATTTACCTACCTACCGACCCAACTTGAGACTTTTGGGTCGGGTTAGGGGAAACAAAGATATTTTTAATGATGGCCTCATGGTTTGTTGTGGTTATAATATAGTACTTACCTAGGGTGAATGTTAATATCTTTTACATGTACATATAAATACCACATTTGTCACGGAGAGTTTACAGCTGTGAGTTTATTATGTATTGGTGGTCTTCACTTCTATATCTCAGACTCTTTGATATCTCAATGTTTTTGTCCCACTGAGTTTGAGATAATCAGGTTTTACTGTATAAAGTGCAATTGCATGAATGGTTCTTTATATATAGAGACTTTATCCTTATTGTAAAATTGCCACTATTTAGAAAAGCAGCTGTAAAAAAATATCATGCAGGATGCTGGCATGTATATAAATTAATTAAAATTGTGACATACAGTAATTGTATTAAATTTCTAGGAATTTTTAGCCTTCAATAAAAAGATTTCACAAATTTTTCTCTAATATTTTCCTTTGAAATATAAATTTAAAAACATATCATGTCCCCCCCCCCCCCATATTTTGTTTATATTTTTATTCTAAAAGTTTTAATATTTGTTAACTAAAAATTAATTGGTACCCTGACTGAAATACTTTAAAAAGTTTCTTACATAAGGATATCAATTTGAATTTTTCTGCTTTTTCTGGCCTAGTTGCTTAAGATGACATTTTTTTCTATGAAATATTTTCCTTATTATGTCACTGTAATGACATGAACTAGCTAGTTCTGCAGTCATTTCTCCAGTAGTGGACGTGACTATAATTGGCTATAGGCAGATATTATAATGCTTAATAATTAGAATACAGTACATTCTCACCTCCTTGTTCAACACTCCAGACATGACATCATCAATGTTTAGTAATTAGAATACAGTACATTCTCACCTCTTTGTTCAACACCCCAGACATGACATCATCAATATTTAGTAATTAGAATACAGTACATTCTCACCTCTTTGTTCAACACTCCAGACATGACATCATGATCAATGTTTAGTTATTAGAATACAGTACATTTTTACCTCTTTGTTCAACACTCCAGACATGACATCATCAATGTTTAGTACTTAGAATACAGTACATTCTCACCTCTTTGTTCAACACTCCAGACATGACATCATCAATGTTAACTTTAGTACATGTAATTAGAATACAGTACATTCTCACCTCCTTGTTCAACACTCCAGACATGACATCATCAATGTTTAGTGATTTGAATACAGTACATTCTCAACTCTTTGTTCAACACTCCAGACATGACATCATCAATGTTTTGTGATTAGAATACAGTACATTCTCACCTCTTTCTTCAACACTCCAGACATGACATCATCAATGTTTAGTGATTAGAATACAGTACATTCTCACCTCTTTGTTCAACACTCCAGACATGACATCATCAATGTTTAGTCGTAGCGTGTTACTTCCAATAATGGCATCACTTTTACAAATGTGAGAGACCCCTACAATTTATATACAGAGAATATATATTACATTTTCAATACTGGAAATGAAATGAATCTTTCCATTGAAATTAATGACTGATCTCCAGTAACAAGAACAGATCATTTGATCTGAAAACTTGAGCTTAATTTTCTTACAGTTTTATTATATATTAATAAATTTAATTGTTATTCTTTATCATGTTTACAGGATAAATGTAAGTCTCTTAGTCAAATGCTTAAAATATTTGTTCAATATAATTGCTTTTATTTTAGAGCAACTACGTTTAAGAAGAAATAAATTAAAACAAACCTTTTCAAAGAATCAAATAGTTAAATTTGATCTACCCTGAATAAAATTTAATTTTTATTTCATTTGTTAACATTAAAGGTGCTTGGACACAGATTTGAAGTTAATATTTTCTCAAATTTTCTGTATAATTTCATGACTTATATGTTGTTATAGCATTTCATACTAAAATAAAATAAAAATCTATTTCATCTCGAAGTTATTGAAACTTCAAATTTCTGGACGCGTTTGATTGACACATCCTTGCACTTTCACAAATTTTAATTTTATTCTTAATACTTAAGAAAAGTGGCAATTTTGTTGTGTATTAATGAAAAATATTAGAACTATAATCCAGAAAATTCAGAGTAGAAATGTTCGAAAGCAAAACCCACTCACAGTATTGTCAGTCCGTGCTCAGTGGTGTGTGCAGACTTTAACAATTGAACACACCCGGTGAATCGTAAACATTAACAATAACAGAGCTCGTGCCCTGTTTACAAAAACAGTTTACGTCTCACGGGTGTATTCAATTTGTTAAGATCTGTACACAACACTGAGCACGGGCTGACGATATTAGTGAGAGGGTTTGCTTTCGCACATTTCTACTCTGAATTTTCTGAATTATAGATGTAATGTTTTTCATTAATACACAACAAAATCGCTTCTTTTCTTAAATATTAAGGATAAAGATAAAATTTGTGAAAGTGCAATGATGTGCTAATCAAACGCGTCTAGGAATTCGTAGTTCCAATAATTTCTAGATAAAATAAGTTTTTAATTATATTTTCGTGTGAAATGCTATTGCAATATATAAGTCGTGATATTATGCAGAAAATTTGAGAAAATATTAACTTCAAATCTGTGTCTAAGCACCTTTAAATTTATATTTTTACAATTTTCATAGCCTGACAGATTTTTCATAGGAACATTTAGTTTAAAATCATTTCAAATTAATAGGTCAAATACCTGTAAACTAGAAGGTCCATATTGAGAAAGGGATGAACCATATCATTGGTTTTACTAAATGCCACCCCCTTAATCCATTTATTAGTAATAAATATGATAAAGATATCAAGCATACAATATAACTACATGAAAACTGGTGCATGCATGTTTCCTTTACTTACTTTCCAGTAAATCTTTCTTGATCTCTAAATCTTCTTTCACAGCCTCAAAAATAAACTCAGCATCACTGACAGTTTCCTCCAATCGGCTCATACACAACACCTGACCCTGTATCAAATAAACTCATAAACAACACCTGACCCTGGATAAAATAAACTCATACATAACACCTGACCCTGTATCAAAGGGATCAAAGTGTCATTGAATGTGTTGAATTGAAGTTACATAAAAAAAAAAATTGTCCCAAAGCTTAACTTCAACTACTGTGGAATCATCAATGTTCATGGGGGACCAATGTTTGTAGAATGTAGATCACTCAGTACCCAAGAATTCACATTCCCACAAATGTTTATTTCATTATAAACATATTGATTCACTGAATCTACTATTTAAATTGGTAACCCACGAACTATGTCCCCCATAAACAAGTAAAATTTTGCTTGCCCATGAACACTGACCCCCATGAAATAATTAAGAAATGAATTTAATTTTTGAAGATTCATGAGGACATGAACTACGTACGACGCTTCACGCCGGCATATTTCATGAAGCGCGCCAGCGCTTCATGATAAATATGCTGGCGTGAAGCGTCGTAGTTGACATGCACCTCACAAATTTTCAAAACTAAATTTATGTCTTATATTTACATTATTTTTCTGCTGAGTTGCCACAAATTACGCCATTCAACTTCATTTTTAAAGCAAAATAGTTTGCACTATAGTTTTGACGTCAAGTACAGTTCTATGACATAACAATTGAGATATTCATGCTCATTCATGGTAGTTCATGAGAAAATGAACTGTTTTCTATTTTGTAAAGAATCATAGGGAAATTTATTGGAAATGTAAATATTAAAAAAGATTCCACAGCATCCTTTTAAAATTAAAAAAGAATAAAGAAAATAAAATTCTATCTCCAAAAATGTCATCATCTGTAACTCCCAGAGCAGGCACAATCTCGTGAAATTCATATGTATGCATTTATATCTGATTTACCACACAGTGTTTTATATAATTTATGTAAGCAAGGAATAAAACATTTAAAGCAAAACTGCCATTCTGCATTCTAAGATGCATTATCTATGCAAGTTTGGTCACGTTTGCAAGAAAAATAAATATGTCTTTTTTCCTGTTTAATTTTTAAAATGTTTTTGCTTTTTTCATTTGCCAATATTATCATGATTATTGTAAACTTGTTGATATGAAATTAATAGTAAAACTTAGATCCATACAAACAATGACAAATGCGGGTCTACCACTGGATTTGGGTTAATTGACAAATTAATAATTCAGTAAAATATATTATTATACACAATCTCCCTCCCAAGACAGAGGGGTGGTCACCTAAATTTTGATGAGGGGTTTTACTACATGTCACCTACATATTGATGAGGGTCTATTTACTTTTCTTCCACTTACCACAAAATTCTTCTGAAATAAAATGCCGTCCTCTCTCAGTTGCTTCTTGTCATCTTCCAGGACATTAAACACAGAGTTTAGAGCCGGGATATTGATGTCCCAGATATTCACTCTGTGACCATGATAAGCCAGCTCTCCTAAAGGAAAAATAAGACATTACTGTAGATTCCCAAATATACCTGAGGAATTTATTATTGCATAATTTTACAAGAAACATCACTGGCGAAATAAAATTACTCGCTTTTATTTTAATTTATGATGCTGAAATGCATGTAAAATCTCTAGATTAAACATCTACTCGTGAATTATTGTTCTCCCGATTTGACATCTAAGGGCCATTTCACGATATAAAGTACTTGCGTAAAATAAGGAATCTTCAGTAATTGATCTTGGTATCCACAGCACTGAATGTGCAGACCAAGAACCAGGATGTTTAGAAGGTCATTTTTTAGTTACATTACTATATAAATTTAAAAAACGCTGAAAATTCAATGGGGAGAATCCAGAACCGCACGCCATAGATCCGTGCATGTAATGTACCAAAGTTTCATTTGACATCCCATATGTGTTAATATGAAGAAAAAATCTATAAATTTATAATGTAAGTATTTTCAAATCTATAACATCTAGCTGTTCTTCCTTACTGTCATTACTAAATAGACTATATCTAAAACCTCTAATGTTAACATTTGTACAACCAATATGTCAAAGTACATTTTTCTTTGTGTAATACGATAACTATTTCAGATCTGAAATCTGTTTTATATAAATTAGACTTCAGATCTGAAATAGTTGTCAGAGGAATTTCGGATAACATATCAATAAGCATGACCATCATACTATGTAACGTTAATTACATGTGACATTTGAAAACTTACCTGCTATTTTGGTACCAAGCAAGCCGCAACCTAAAACAGCGATTTTCATAATCAAATGTTTTTAGTTGGCAACAATAAAGAAACAAAATCTATATTTTCATCTGCACAATTGTTTGTTTATGTTGCCTTCCTCCATCTTGATTTTCGCAAGGCTTTCGAGGGAGCAACTATTAATTCAAATTTCATTTTTTTTTCACGCTTTGTGAAATTTAATAACACAAAAAAATAATTCTTTTAACTGTATCTTAAAAAGTATAAAGTTAAAAAGGGAAGCTCTTAGGTATTATTGATAATTCTTAAAGGTGGAATTTAAAAACCCCTTAATGTACTTTACAATTACTTCTCCCCCAAGGACGGTAACTGCGACTAGATTCACAAGATGAGTAAATCGGAGTCTCCAGTTCCAGGGAATAACAGAAAAGCTATAGCATTACAACGGTGGAGAATCTTGCGACAGGTGCCCCTTTCTTTGTTTTATTATATATAAGCATTTTTTAGTAGTTAACCTTTAAACTATACGATAAGAAAGAATCAATCAAATTTGCACATATGTCAGGTCTGGTACAATCACTAGATTTAGCTACGTAGCTTGAACTACCTACATAGCTTCATTTACCTACCTGAAGTAGCTTTATTTAGCTACTGAATCAAACTTTTTTCTTAAATTAGCATTTTTCTCAGGAAGTGCAGAAAATTGCACTTTGATGCAGTGATAATTTTCAACTTTAAGCTCATCTGAAAACAATTCATGAAAAAATCACTCTTGGAGATATGTCTTTTTCTGCACAATTTCAATCAAAGTTCTACAACTTTTGGGGCTATAAACAACAGTTACTTCTTGAATGAAATAACAAAGAAAACCAGTTCTGGTTAACATGAGCACAATGAGAAGCAATCATACTTATCCATGCCTCGTCGCACACAAGGTGGTGTACAGTTACGCAAACAATGGAAATACATCTTTTCCTTAAATTAGTGTTCAAACGCAGCAATGTTAAAACTATCTCTGCATTAGATTGCTTTTTGAATAATCCCTAGTATAAATATTAGTAGTCATTTATTTGCGATTTTTTGTTTTTTTAAAATAAAAGGAAAAATTGTGAAAAGTTGCCTTGAAATAGCTAAATAAAGCTACCTGAGGTAGGTAAATAAAGCTACGGTAGGTAATTTTAGCTACGTAGCTAAATGTACTGATTGTACTGGACCTGTATGTAACATTAGCCTATTTAACATGTTTAGATGTAGGTTAGTTGTTACTACACTAGACTCATTGACTATAAATGGGAGCATGACCACACTCAGATAGGCTTGTTCTAGGTTTTTTAAGAATATGAAATGTCAATATTAAAAAATCGCATCTTGACAGCAAAAGTATTACACATCCGGAGCAAGCCTGCTGTCAAGAATCTTTTCCGTTTTAGTAAAATTGAGATTTAACCATGTTAACCAATTGAAAATAATGTTTTTGTAACTGAATGATTATTAGTGAAAAGTAAATGACAATTTCAGGCCCGTAGGAAGCAATTTCAGTTTGGGGGGCACAACCAAACATTTTCAGTTGGGGGGGGGCACTATCAACTACCAAAATTCCTTGACAAGCAAAAAAAAAAAAAAAAAAAGAAAAAAGAAAGAAAAGGGCATCAGCCGTCTTTATTGAGAGGGCACAAGCATATAGTAGCTAAGTTTTCTATAGTATTCTATATACATCTATTGGCAAAATTATTGGGGGGGGGGCACACCCCCCCCCCCCCCCCCCCCCGGCTCGGTTCCTACGGCCATGATTTTTTAATTATTAATTCTAAAATAATGTAACTGCATGTGTCAATTTACTTTTTGATAGGCATTGAAAGGCAGCAGTTCATCAGAGACATGTACAAGTGATGTCTCGGTTCGACGATTTGCTGGTTATGGATTATTGAAGACAGAGAAGTTGTCTATAACACCTGAGGGTAGTGTGTGGTATAAATACTCAGCCCCAAACCATCCGGGATTTAGCATGTCAGTCAGGTGTGGCATCTCTGTGCATAATTTGTACCTGAACATGATGAAGGAAAGTCTGTCTGCAGACTCAATATGGCACAATTCAATTCAAATTTATTAATACTAACATCATATTTTTAGAACAGAATATTTCAAAATTGTCAAAATTTCATGAGGACTGACCCACAGACAAATGTTTTTTTTCATTATCAGTCCAAATAGGGTTCTGTCATTCCAGATACTTTATTTTTTCATTGGCAATTTTCAAGTTGATCATCTGGAATTACATGTATATAGTCAAGGAATTCATTACTGCATTTAAGTTTTTGTTCGTCATGCAGACAGGAACCGACAGTTTACTGCGACGTGACATATTATTACATGTAGGTTCAATATTTTTAAAATGCATAATGTGGGAGTGAATATACATGAATTGTTCCAACTTATTTACACTTTAGTTATGCAGATCGATAGTCAGATAATAGAGACCTCTTAAAAAATTATTATTTTTTCAATATATTACTAAATTTAAAGTTTAATCAATTGATGTATTAAAGTCAACAAAGACAGTAAAAGCTGTCTGAGTATATTGAAATAATTAGAAAGAATTTTACAAATTTAAATGTTTAAAAAAAATAAACATAATCATGAATTTAATTTGTTTCAATTATTTCAGGCATTTGCCAGGCACTATTGATGCTAGTACACTGCTGGGCTTTAACAACACAGGCAATGTTTGTAAGTAAACATATAGAGATCAGCCAAAGTGGTTAATTATGTGGAAGGGAAGTAACTCCTGATTTCTTAGCTACATATGTAGTACAAAGTGTCACTTAAAACACTGTTGTAATTCTCTTTACAGGTGTGTGGCCAGCAGAAGAAGTGATGACTGATTACTGCATGAAAAACTCTGAACAATTCAGGTAAAATTCCATGTTATCTGGTCAATTGACATTTTATTTCCTATTTATAAATTTAATGTAAGATTTTTGACTTTCTGACCTTTTCTAGTGAAACAACCAATATCAATTAAAACTGTCTAACCCTTTTCACAAAAAGTCTTATGACAAAAATAAAAAAATTGACAACTCTGCAATTTCTCTGTTTCATAAAGTTACTTAATGATTTTTGTGTAAAAGATATTCATTTTTGTGATTTTCTATTGCCTGCATACTGTAAATCACTTTTTATTTGCAAGAACTTTATTTTCGTGTAATCATGCAAGATAGTTTGCTCACAAAAATTTCATTCTTGCATATATTCTTATTTAATTAGTATAGATTCTATAGAACAATAAACAGAATTTGTGAAAATGTTGTACATGTACTACCAAATAACTTTCTTGTGAAAATAAAGTGTCACAGAAATTTAGTGATCTACTTATTCAGAGAATTGGAACATTTTTGTTTTATTCATATTAAAATATTTTTTTGAAAAGGTCCACTGGACATAAGTAGAAAATTAGAAATCTAAATCAGAACCCAGTAAAGCTAGGAGTACTGACACAGGGCAAATACGAGTACTGACACAGTGCAAATATGAGTACTGACACAGCTGTGCAAATACAAGTACTGACACAGGGCAAATATGAGTACTGACACGGTGCAAATACGAGTACTGACACGGTGCAAATACAAGTACTGACACGGTGCAAATACGAGAACTGACACGGTGCAAATACGAGTACTGCTAAGTGTTTGAGCTGTGAGGGGTTATGACATACTATGATTTTTATTTTGTAGGGACTGCTCAGTTTGTGAGCTAGGAGGGGGTATGACCTGCTTGGCTGGATTAGCTGTAAGTTTGTAATCAATGAGGGCAATTAATTTTGATAATTTATACCTGAAACTTTGCATAAAAATTGAAATATATTTTTTTGAAATTAACATACAGTAGATCAGAGGATCTACAGGACTGAGCACAGTGTATTCATCATTCAATCTTTCTTTTATACATGTATTTACATTAAAACGTTAGGACACTTACACAAAATGCCAAGGTTGAACAATTTTCATTTGTTATAAAATTAATGTAATTTATTATACCTGATAAGTTCATAATATATTTCTAAACCACAGGGAATTAAAATCATTTGGCTGTTATAAGCAAAAATTCATTATAAGCATGTGCTTTATGTATTCTGTATAGTCGTGTAGAAAATTTTGTCCTTTTAGTTGGCCATTGTTTCCAAGGCAACTAGTATACTGCTAAGTGATGGAAATGAAGAATCTGTTCAAAGTAAGTTTTAGAAAAAGCAAAACTATAATGAAAAAAAGGAAGTTGAATTAATAGATTTGAAAAAAAAAAATCATTGTTGATGGTTTTTTAATTGAATTTGATTTACTGTATTTCGGTGAAGTTTTTCTAAATTTGCAGTTCACTGTTGACTGTTAACTTTGGTAAAAAAACCTGTTATAAAATAAGTAGAATTGACTAGGTATTGTAGTGTTCTAGACAACCAGTTTACTTTGACAGATCTTAATGTCATCCTTGACTATGAAGAGAACCAGTCAAAGTTTGGCAACACAGATGTCTCATCAAGGTACGTTATAAAAGATAGGGAACTTCATCAGTTATAGTATCTTGCATGTGCAGATCATTCAAGAACTTTTTAGCTCACCTGAGCTGAAAGCTCAAGTGAGGTTTTCTGAACACATTTTGTCTGTAGTCTGTCTGTCCATCCATCTGTCTGTCTGTAAACTATTCACATTTTCGACTTCTTCTCCAGAACCACTGGGCCAATTTCAACCAAACTTGGGGCAAAGCATCCTTGGGTGAAGTGGGTTCAAGTTTGTTCAAATGAAGGGCCACGCCCTCTTCCAAGGGGGGATAAATAAAAATTGGTGAAAATTTGGTGTCATCTTTTAAAAATCTTCTTCTCAAGAACCACTGGGCCAGAAAAGTTGAAACTTACAGTACCAACCAGACCCAACCTGACACAAAGCAGTCCCAGAGCAGTCCCGGGGACTGCTTTCTGGGACTGCTAAAGCAGTCCCAGAGCGGTCCCACAGCAGTCCCACAGTGGTCCCAGCAGTCCCAGCGGTCCCAGAAAGCAGTCCCAGCAGTCCCAGTGGGCGGGGTTAATTAATTTAATGGGCGGAGCTTACTCAGAATGAGATTACCAATAAACAATGTAACTATATAAAAGGCAGTTGAAATTGATGAGCAATTCTTTCTGAGTAGTATCAACAAATATTTACAATTCTTACGTGACAGTCATTTCTGAACTGTTAAGAAAATTACAGTACGCGTATAGAAACAAATTATAATTATTGAATGAAGAAGACGTTCACACCTATTAATAACATATTTAAACACAATTATTTGGTATATTAATTTTTAACCAAAATAAACCAATTTCTTTATTTTTTGTGATTGATATTGGTTTTCATATTTTTTTTTTTTATATAGAAAATTAAACTTGAATTGTTTATTTTATACCAGAATTAGCTTTAAATAGATAAAAATAATTATAGAGCAAGGCTGATTCCCATACTATACTCTGAATGCATTTTTCTTAAGTATTGGAGCTTTTGAAAAATTCTTTGTTAAACATTGCCGAGTATTATATTTCAGTCATGATTATTTTCAATTACTTCCCAATTTAATTATCTTTAGATTCTCAGTTTTAAGTGTTTTATTATATAAATGTTCGAGTGTACATCTGTAAATCACGCAAATGGAACCCTCAGATTATGTTCAAAATTAATTAATCCCGAAATAAATTTATACACAATTATTGAAACTAAGATTTTTTGAGGGACATAGATTGAAATTAGTGTCAAAGTTGACCAGCGTGTTCAGTGATGTGTAACACTGATACCCAAATAACATGCATTGACTTTATGCTAATTATGCCCAAAGGCGATTGAAACCTCGGGTGTTGACACCATTTTATACAATCCCATTGTATTAACCGGCCAGGTAAACACAAACAAAAGAAATAAGAAACAAGTCACAATTCCCGATATTTTCAAATGTTTATTTTTTCAATAAATGTACTCTTTTAATGACTTGTTTATAAATTAAAAACTAATTCATAAATAAATCCCCGAATAATTGTTCACATTGTTTTTGTGACAAAAGAATGGTAAAATAATTTTATTTCACGGTCATTAAATAAATTATTAGGTTTTATTTGAGGGTGGTAAAAAATAGCATGGAGTGCTCTTTTTTAAACATGGTATTAGCTTTTTCAATTAAGAAAAAAATCCAGTACAGTACGTTCCTCTGAAAACATGCATCTTACTGATTTGACAAGTTTGTTTTTTGTTTGTTTTTTTTAAATAGTGCTAATGCAAACTTTGAGTACATATGTAATTTGACAGCATTAATTTATTAACTAGGCCTAGATAAATTTTTTTTCAAACACCTGTATTGAAGTTTAATTTAAGGGATAAAAATTATCCCCTGACTTCCCTTTTCAACCACTTTTATTTTCTTAAAATTAATTCTAGACTACAGTTGTGTAAATTTACAGCCCTCTGAAGACATTTAGTAATTACATGTATAACTATCTCTATTCATTTAATTTTTGTAAGAAATTAATACTTGTTTTTTTTTAATTTGTTTTTATCTTAACCACCTCTCTGCAGAAAGTAAACAAAACAACAACAGGGAGCTGCAAATTCAGAATACACAAGGGGCAGAGCTATCATGTCACTCAGAACCTTTTTCACGCATGAGTGAACAAAGCAGTCCCAGGGACTGCTGGGTCTGCTTTCTAGAGCAGTCCCACAGCAGTCCCATAGCGGTCCCAGAGCAGTCCCTCAGCGGTCCCAGAGCAGTCCCACAGCGGTCCCAAAGCAGTCCCGGGGACTGCTTTCTGGGACTGCTTTGGTGTCAGGTTGGGTCTGGTTGGTACTGTATGTGAAGCCTTCATTACATAATGTAGATTCAAGTTTGTTCAAATCATGACCCCTGGGGGTAGGGTGGGGCCACTATGGCAATCAAAGTTTTTCATAGAATGCATAGGAAAAATCTTTAAAATTCTTCTTCTAAAGAACAGCAAAGTGATCGTTAGTTATATTTATACTAAATCATCTTCAGGTAGTGTAGATTCTAAATCATACAAATCATGACCCCATGGGGTAGGATTGGGCCACAATGGCCAATCAAAATTTTACATAAGAATATAATTTATAGGAAAAATCTTGTAAGGTCATCTTCCTCAAAACAGCAAAGCCATGATTAGTCATATATGTATGGAAGCTTCCTCAGATCAAATCATGACACATGGGGATAGGGCGGGGGCCGCAATTTATTATCTAAATTCTACGTAGGAATATATTGGGGAAAAATCCGCTGATAAAGAACAGAAGGGCCATAGTTACTCAGGTGAGCATTGTGGCCCATGGGCCTCTTGTTTTTTGGGGGGTGGGGGAGGGGGATCCAGTTCATTTTCTGGTTATGTTAGTATGTAGATTTAATATTTCTGAAAATTCAAATGTGGGGGGTGTCCTTCCCTTTACTAGATCTGCAAATGTCTTGCTGGTAGGTTTGAAATTATTCAACACATCTGGTCACTTGATAACTTAATACCATTGGAGGTATCTCTTATAGGCTGGTAATAAATGCTAGACACTTTAAATTAAAATGAGTAGATGTCATGATATCAGTAAGCAAACAATGGCATTTATTACAATTTCAATAGTGAAATACTGTAATTTATTTATTGAATAAAAGTGATATTTTGTCATAGTTTAAAAGAATACCAAAGTGATACTCACATTGTGAAAGAATATCAAAAGTGCAGCAAAACTTGAGATTTTCTTTCCCTTCATGTAAAAAATACTCCAGGGGCCTCTTATAAGAAAGAGAGAGTAAATAAACCATCATAACAGAGAATAAAACTGCCATAGTTTCTCCAAATATATCATTGAAATCCAAATTCTCTATCGTTACCAAATCTGTGATGTCTCAACCGCTCAACTATGATGCTACAACCTATGACACTGTGTCAAGAAAAAAAACAGACTGAGGCAAAGGGAAAAATCAAAGAAAATGTAATAAACAGAAATCAGAATTTTATATTTTTTAGTTTGTATTAGTTAGCTTTGTACTTGTGAAAATATCAAAAAATCATGTCCCACTCATGAAATAAAGTCCATATCCAACTAAAAAAAACATTGAATATCCTCTATCTCTTCTGACTCCTAGATATTTTTTTGTTTGCTTTTAAATAATTTTCTGTAACTAGCTTTCCTCTGTGCCTGACTAGTAAAATCTTATTATAGACTTATTCCCTGGGGCAGTGACACCCTTGTGTCTTTCTAGCTGCCTGATGCCTGTTTGATTAGCTTTTGCTTTTATTGTAGACTTATTCGCTGGGGAAGTGACACAAAACATGAAGACTTAGAGGTTAAATTTGATTTTGTTTTATGTGCTGACTGGTGAGTGATGAAATGGAATCCAGGAGTTACTTCCCTTAATCTTTGAGATGATAAGTTTTAAACTACTGCATTATACATCAGATAGGTTTATAAGGTTCAACATATATGTCCTTTAATGTTTGTTTAAGATAAAGTTATCATAGCTGACAGTTTTGTATACTGTAAACCAACTTTTATTCGCGTCAACTTTTATTCGCGATTCGTCGCTTTGAAATTAGTCCGCTACGATTAATTTTCACGACTGAGGAAACATTCTCTACAAATACAAAGCAAAATAAATGGTTAGCGGCGATAAATATTTGCGAGTTTAAGTAGGTTGCGAAACTCGCAAATATTTCTCGCACATGAATAAAAGTTGGTTTACAGTAATTTGGAAGGGGGTAGGGGTATTGATGATTGCTTACACCTCATTTCTGTAGTGTTTATTTTTTAGCCTGTTCTTTGATGAAGGCAGGGATGATCTTGCAGATTTAATCTCAGACATACTGAAACCTGGTGTAAGTTCTGGCCCATGGATCATGAAAAAAGCTCAGACTTAAGTCAAAATTTTTATCATCTGTAAGATGTTAATCAATTTTCAACTAAAACCTAAGACTGCAGATAACTGCACTTTGGCAATACAATATGGAATAGTATTTTTATTTTGAACTTTTAGACTTCAGTCTACATCATTTCAGCACAAAATACAGATTTTGCCTCAAGCATAAGATGTTTCATGATCACAAGGCCTGATTTAATTGAATTTAGTAAACAAAAAATATATTCAAGAGAAAAAAGTCATTTGAGACCATCAGTTTGCATCTATCAGCAATATTACAGACAGGCTTGTAAAAAGACAGACTTACATAAAAGCAATAATGTATCAGGAGTATGCCTGATTGGACGGACAAAGTGATTTTTAGCTAGCTTACCTTGAGGAAGTGAAACTGAGTTCATGCTATACCCCCAGCAATGATGCTGGAGATGGCGTCCCCATTAAAGTTTTAGAGCAGGTCCATTCCTAAGTAACTATTAGCCCTATGGTGACCAAAATTGCAGGGTTGTTACATCCATGGTTGACACTGGTTGTACACTACCATACTTGCCTTGGATACTGGATCTGACCCACATTTTCTGGATGAATGACCTGGTTTACATTTTGGGAACAGGTCTATTCCAAAGTAATTATTACCTTATGGTAATCAAATGTTCAAGGTTAATGCATCTAAGAATGCACATTCCCAGCATTGCTTGGGATACTGGATCTGACCTACATTTTGCAAATGAATCACCAGTTTAAAGTTTTAGGAGCAGGTCCATTCCTAAGTAACTATTAGTGTGTGGCTTCCAAACTTACATGACTGATACATCCATCGATACACACTTCCAGACTTGCTTTGGATGCTGGATTTGACCTACATTTTTCAGATGAATGACCAGATAAAATTTTTGGAGTTGTTCATTCCCATAAAATTTTGAGCCCTACAGTGACAAAACTTGCTTCCCTGATGCATCTTTGCACACTAACTTGACATGCTTCGGATTCTGATCTGACCTACTTTTTTAGTGTGAGACTTTGCTTTTCTAGCAAATAATCTTTGTGGAGGAGAGCTTTGTAATCTCTGATTACCTATGTTTTATGATATTAGAAATTTTCCTGTATATAACAATACCCATGTATTTCCCTTGATAACAATGACATATTTGATTTAACTCATACATGTAGCATGTGATGTTGTTATGGAATTATTACAGGGTACAGCCATTTTATTTGCCCCTCGTCGAGGCTCTACTTTCCAGGCTTTCAGAGACATAGCCCAGAAACAGTTCCAAATAGACGTCAAAGAAATGTACAGCTTGGAGGTCTGGGATCTCCATTGTAAGGTAAGTTTAAACTATTTTAAAATGGTTAGTAAGCACATTCTTTGTTTTAGACAATGTTTTTCTTGGTTGTAAGGATTCCGAAATAAAAACAAATAAAATGGTTTGTGACCATTCTCTCTCTTTTTCTAGAATGTAAGGTATGTTGGAAATTAAAAAAAAAACAGTTATTTGTGACTGTGGTTTCCTTTTGTAGAATAACAGTGTACACTGTTATTTTATAGAAGTTAATGCACTATTCAAAAAAATAAAGAATTTTATGATATTATAAATTAGAACATGAATAACTATATATTATTCAACTTTGCTGTTGGAAGACCAGAAAAAGATAATTCATTGGTAGATTGTCTAATTGTCTGTCTGAAAAATTTTCACTATAATTTTTTTTTTCAAAAAGTGTACTTTCAGTGTAGCAAAATGTTTATTTAACAACACATTGCCAATCTCAATACCTTAAATAAATTATGAACTGATTACACAGAAAGGCATAGAAATGAGATTGATATGGAAATTGCATATTTTTGAAAAATTGTAATCTCAAGATGTTTACCATATATACTCGCCTACGAGTCATTTTTTTGGGGGAGTTAAATTTTGGTCCAAAACTCTAAGTCCGACTTATTGGTGAGTCAAAAAAGATAAATATTTTTCTGGACAGCGAAATGTAGTATTTTTTAAACATTTCCCATGATAATCGTTGAACAAAGTCAAGATATATTGTATCATATATGTTTTCTAAGAATATTATACACAGAGTACAAGTATTTACATAATTATTTTAATATCTTTTTTTTTATCTTAAGTGTGCATTATGTATTTTTCTTAATGATTTGAAATTAAATATTGGTGTCATTTCTAAAAATATTAATCAATACCAGGTTAAAACATTAGAGCATTGATTTGAAATTGTCAAATGATTCTGGCAAAAAGTTGTACCAACTTATAAGCGGGTCAATGGCAAATCTCTCCAAAATAACCACAAAAAATACAACAACTTATAGGCGGACTGAATTACAGGCGAGTATATATTCAATTTTCAAATTCAAAATTATATTTTTATAAATGTTTTTCCACACTTCACATGCTTGTATGAAGAGACAACATTTTACAGCAAAATGTTTTAATTACAACAGACACTCTTTGTTAATAATTAAGAAAGTATGTTCTCATGTATTCTGGTTGGTAAATTCATAACAGAATGAGAAGTTTGTGTAACTGATATATATTTAAAGGAACGACTTGGTAACGTTGAGTTAACACGGTAAAGCTTTTTTTTTTGTGATATGGAGATTTAGATCAAATGAATTAGTAAAACAAAAAGGGGAAAGGTGTCAGGAGTGTTATGAAGACTTTCAGAAAAACAAAAGCAAGGGAGAAAAACAAGAAAAGCAATTGTCTGTTTTGTGTGAGAATTCAGGGAAAGGTCTGATGTCCTTTACCTCTTACATAATGGAACATTTCTTTTGCTATTTTTCACATGTTTTTTGGCTGCCAAATCATAACACGTACACCATTCCATAAACTTAAAAAAAATTAAAGCTGAAATAGTTTTTTCTTGCCGATGAATGATGAGTTAGTTCTGAGCCTACATCGGGAACATGTTTTCATAATTTTCGAAAAAAATATAAAACCAAAATGTGACGAAAACTTCTGACCTGTAGAATGTCATTTATTCAGCCTACTGTTGATGGCATGTAGACTCTCAGACAGAACCTCCATATTGCACAAAAGTTCATTGTTAATAATGAGCAATTGTGCAGACCAGCAAATTTTTCCTAAAAGTTATGTATCATTTATATAAGGTATTATGAAACATAAGCTCATTTTTTGAACTCTTCAGTTACATAACTTTTATTTTTATGCCTGCACTACATAATAGACATTCTGACGTAATGATAGAAGAAAGTACCAGGGCATTTTTTGTGATTGGAAATTATTGCTATTTGACCTCTGAAAGGTAGTAAATTAATTTCTGTATTTTTTATTTCTATGGTTGCATCAAACAGAAAATATATCAGAAAACCTACAAATACAAATCTGTGAACAGGGCATAAAACTCAGACCCCTGGAAATTGCAGAGGTGGGATCAGGTTCCAAGGAGGAGCAAGGGTCCCCTGTCAACTGGCCACACATGCCGTAAGCCCTACGTATTGATCAGATAGGCAAAGAACCCCATAGTCTGATTTAGTATAAAAACAAAGGCTGAGAAATTGGTATGAAATATTTCAGTCAAAATATGACCCAATGATAGGTTGCATTTGCTAACTAAGTCATTATAATAATCATTGAATTTACTAAATGCTGACTTTAAATAAGGTTGTTGAAATCCCGGTAACATCAACTTATTTACCAATAGCCTGCCTCTGTTTAAAAATTGATTGTACTCAGAGCATGCTCTTGAGTTTCAAATAAGTTGGGAGGCATAAACACCAGATATATGCAGATGATACTGGGGTATAACATTATCTATTAAGTTAATATTTTAAGAATACCGTATAAGCAGAATTTTTAGCGAGGATTCAATTTTGGCATTATTAGTGAGGGTTTTGAGATCGCTAAAATTGAATATCGCTAACAATTTATTCCCTATAGGTTGTTATAGGTATCTTTCTTGACATTATAAAATCGCTAAAATTACTTTTCGCAAAAAATATATACCATTTTTGGGGGATAAATTGCTATATTTGCCTCTTGCTAACAATTCCACTTACACGGTACTTTGCAATTAATATTTTTGTGGATTTCCACAAAAATTGAACAAGAGCATAATATAAATGTTATATGGTCACCTTAACACATGAATAGTAATACTTAAAAAACGTATTGACATGCAAATATCAGATACGTACATGTATTTGAAACACACAAACAGTAGCATGAAGCAGTCACATTGAATTACATGTAGTTGATGTAGCAGACACTGACATAGATAAGTACATGTATGTGTATCATAGAGATAAGTACATGTATCATAGAGATAAGTACATGTGACATAGAGATAAGTACATGTACCATAGAGATAAGTACACATATCATAGGGAAAAGTACATGTATCATAGAGATAAGTACATGTTTCATAGAGATAAGTACATATATCATAGAGATAAGTACACATATCATAGAGATAAGTACATGTATCATAGAGATAAGTACACATATCATAGAGATAAGTACACAAATCATAGAGATAAGTACACATATCATAGAGATAACTATATGTATCATAGAGATAAGTACATGTATCATAGAGATAAGTACATCTATCATAGAGATAAGTACATATATCATAGAGATTAGTACATGTATGATGTATCATAGAGATAAGTGCATATGTCATAGAGAAAAGTACATGTATCATAGAGATAAGTACACATAACATAGAGAAAGGTACATGTATCATAGAGATAAGTACATGTATCATAGAGACAAGTACATATAGCATAGAGAAAAGTACATGTATCATAGAGATAAGTACACATAACATAGAGAAAGGTACATGTATCATAGAGATAAGTACATATATCATAGAGATAAGTACACATATCATAGAGATAAGTACACATATCATAGAGATAAGTATATGTATCATAGAGATAAGTACATGTATCATAGAGAAAAGTACATATGTCATAGAAATAAGTACATGTATCATAGAGATAAGTACATGTATCAAAGAGAAAAGTACATGTATCATAGAGATAAGTACATATATCATAGAGATAAGTACATGTATCAAAGAGATTAGTACATGTATGATGCATCATAGAGATAAGTACAAGTGTCATAGAGAAAAGTACATGTATCATAGTGATAAGTACATGTATCATAGAGAAAAGTACATGTATCATAGAGATAAGTACATGTGTCATAGAGATAAGGTCATGTATCATAGAGATAAGTACATGTACATGTGTCAAAGAGAAAAGTACATGTTTCATAGAGATAAGTAGTCTGGCAACAAACTGACACATGTTAAGTGGAATATAAATCACAAACTGATTCACATACTGTGGCATGTACTGGTATCTGACTTAGGAATATGGGGAAGAAACATGTAATGTACAGTGGTGAATTTTAAGAAAACTAGGAACAATACAAATATGTGAACAGGACATAAAACACAGACTCCCAGAAATTCCAAAGATGAGATCAGGTGCCTAGATACATGTAGTGTGCATAACCAATGCATTTTTACACATTAAGTAGTATAGATGATAAACTGATACTCATGTACTTGTTAAACCCAATATATTTTTACATATATACACTGGTTCTTAGTCAACAAATTGACACATTTAGTGAAACAAGTGTACATGTATAAATTGTGTATTGTTATGGGCTTATAAATTGATACCATTTAGTGACATGTAGATCAAACATTGTCATACATGTAGTTGTATACATGTACTAGTGTAGGCAACACAATGTCATAGATAAAATATTTAATGACTTTAACAATCTATTTAACTATCTGTAAGTGAAATCACATTTTCACACAAATGGACAGGAAGTTCTTGTATATAGTTTAAAAATTATCATTTTTTCTACAGTAATTATATATAAATTTAGGTAGTTTGGTGAATCTCCAGAGTTTGCTTTAAAACATTAGCTAATTTCTCAAATCATTGGTATCTTATTCTTACAACCATATAATAAAAAGGCAAAGTGCACTAGCTGAGTGCTTCACAAACTGATAAAAGATTTTGTTATGTAATTCTAGGCTTTTTCTGGGTCTTGATACATTCTTTCTCAGAAAAATATAAATGTCATTTTGTCTTCTATGGTTAATTGAAACATGCCATGTAAAACATACTGCAATGCACTTACTATCCACAGATTCCTGATGTCCTATTTCTGCAATTTGTCATGAATATAGCACTTATTTTACTATTTTGATGTGCATTGTATGCATTTAAATTAGAAAAAAAATTGCAGATCAAATATATTTAAATTTAGTGATTCTCATTTTTAGAAGTATGTTAAAATTCAGTGAAATTCCAACATAAATGCCATTCCATAAAATTGAAATTTTAAACATTTTTAATCACATTTTCAAAGGTGAAAAAATGTTAAATTGACCGCATTTAATGAATAACTAAATGTATGAAATAATTAGTTATTTTTCTAATGGTTGGATTAAAGGAACTATGAATTATTCTTCTTTAATTATTGACATCATTCTATGGAAATATTAATCTTGACAATCTTGATAATCATGCGTCTACTTTCTATTCATTATAACATATATCTTTTGGTGAATAAACCATTTACATATGGAGCCTAATCTTTTGAAATAAAAGTAGTACAAAGTCTGTCAAATACATTAGCCAGCAGATTGGACTCTTCTCAGCACTTCGAATAATACATGCATACTTTTATTTCAATAGTTCACCACAAGCATTCACAGATCTGATGCCTTCTACAAGAGTGCACTGAAATTACCCATTCTCTACATTTTGATAATGTCTTCACAATTTTAATGGCAAAAAATCAAAAATGTCAGTGATTCTTATTTAAATACTCAAAGTATATTTAGAACATTTCTGGAATAAATGAATGAATTTATCAGCATATATTTACATTATCCTCTTGAGTTAGTCATACTGTATTGATGTGGTTGTTAAGATGAGAATGTCTTATTGTTTGACTGGTTCCCTCTTGTACCTGCTACCAGGAAGCAGTTCAATTTAACTTTTGCATGTCTTTTTCCTGTGTTGTGTCTGTTTCAATTTTAACCTTTAAATTTTATTTTTGGAATGCAAATTGCCACAAAGCAATGTCTGAAACAACCATTTAAAAGAACTGTTGTTAGAAATCATGCATCAAGGAGCAAGTGAAAGACAGACAGGAATTTCAAAATAAAATTAAACATTATTGAATTTTAATTATGTACATAGTATATTATGGAGGAAATGATTTGTTTCCTGCATCTTCATGACAAAAGAGTAAATGCTAAAAGACTGCTGTAGATAAGTATTTTGTAACCACCATATTTAATCACAGCTCATAAAACTTTTGAACCTAACATGCTTTTATGAACTACCGGTAAATAAATGCACATTTTGGAAATAAAAAATTTGCTGCAAAGAAAAAAATATGATGAGCTTTGAAATTTCTGTAAAATTTTGATATCCATGATTGATAAGTACTTTTTAGTACTTTTTTGCTCCCCCTTTTTGCACGAATAAATGTATAAATACAATTAGGCATTTTCTGAAATATGTTTTCACAGAACATTTTTGAATTGCGATCCATCCTTACCGAAGTATCTTCCATGTGTCATTTTTAACCGTTGGCACGTTTTTACCAAATTCCTCATATTCCACCCTATAATTCCCCTGAATACCTTTTGATTGAGTTTCAATAGGGATTGTTTCCTGGTTGCGTTGATATGGAAAATGCAGTGATTTTAAGAAACACTCCTGAGCTTTTCAAATACTCAAAAAGCACAAGAGAGTTTCTAAATGAAATTTAATTTCTACCCTTTTTTGTGCTGGAACAGACCTGATTCAAACCAAATAATATTTGGGGGCAAATAACGAAAATTGGATCTTACTTAAACATGCTTACAACTTATAAATTGAAAGATTTGTGGAAAGAACTCTAGCAGGAACGGTGCTGAATTCCAAAAAGGTTCTTTGAAAACTTAGTTCATAACATGCATAATTGCATAAGGTTTTTAATCGTGCAAAAAAGGGTAGCAATTTTGTACTTCAAAGAAAATTATGAATCATGAATATAAAACCTTCATTAAAATGGCAAAATTCTTCATATTTTTTGTTTGTGTCTTTGTTTAGTAGCAATATCTTTACTTCCAAAATATGCATTTAATTAGTTCCAAAAAGCTTGATAGGTTAAAATGTTCTTTTAGCAGTATACCTAAAAAAAACCAAAACTTTGAAGTCATTACATCATGACACCCTCCTCTCAATACCAGCATTAACTTTTTAGGTCGTTAATAATTTTTAATCTCTCCCTATACCCTTCAGTCTTGCAGGTTTCAAAATTTAACAACCACAATATTTTGAACCCCATCCTTGTAAAAATTAAAGTATTAGAGAGATCAAATTTCCATAGCCATAATATCTCAACTTTATCTTCTCACGTTGATTCCATTCTAATTATCGTGATGAATTCTTCAGGTCAGGGTGTTTTTGTGGTTGTCTCTTTTGTTCTTTACAAGTAAAAGATGAAGATAATGAACAGTGATCAGTCCCTGGAATACAGTAGACAAAACCGTTTTTAACAAAATCGTGAACAGGGCAAAACGAACCTCTGGAAACACCAGGTGGGATCATGTGCCTAGGAGGAGAAAGTATCCCCTGTCAACTGGTCACACCCGCCGTGAGCGCCATGTTTATTTATTGTCGCACATTTGGCACAAGTTTTCTATCATGCTCTTTACATGTTGACACATGTTTGTCTATTCTGTTCTTTACTAACATGATTTGTACATTATACACATTATGTATACGTTTGTCTGTTTAGTTCTTTACATGCTAGTCTTAAACATTTGGCACATGTTTCTCTATTTTGTTCTTCACTTGTTAGTCTCCCACATTTGGCACAGATTCTTCATATTTTCTTCTTTTACTCTAGAACATCTATTGTCACATTAATTCTAATGAACTGACGTCCGACGTGTTACCTAAAACGGAAACTATAACAAAATATGACCTTTTGTAACAATTCTCTCTGAAAAAGGCATGTATATATGTATGGATTTTAAAAGGCATCTTTCTAAAAATTTCTTATTGCACCTGGGGAGGGGAAAGGATTCTATCATCAGGTTAACTTTCATGTCAAATTTGAACTTTTAGTATGTTTTTTTTTTTTTGGCTAAAAATGGTAAAATGGTAGGCAGCAATTTTGGTTACCTAGTGGAGATGATTAAACGCTATAACTGAATATCTCATGAGTGGTAAGAACACCTACATTATGTGTTCAGTCAAAGATAAAAGTCATTAGAACATTAATAAAATAAGGATATGTGAAATTTATCGTTATTTAGAACAAAACAATGTCAATAAGCCTTATACATACAAATTACCAATTAGAGACAATTAAAAATCTTAGATCATGACAAAAGGAAGTGAATTATAGGTGTGTGGAAGGGGATGTTTCATACAGTTCCAATGATAGTGGTTTATAAGATGAATATATTCTGTTTTAGATGAAGTCCAAAGACAGTGGTTTATATGATAAGTATATTTTGTTTCAGATGAAGTCCACTGACAGTGGTTTATATGATGAGAATATCCATTTTCCACTCTTGATGACTTTAAAAAAGCCAAGCTGACACATCCCTCTATTGAAACTGAATTTCCTGTCTGTGATAATTCAAGATACTCACTTCAAACAGAATTCCAGAAGAATCAAGAAGTAAGCCAGGAGGCCATTAATCTGTCAATGTAGTTATATCACTACATTTGATAATTTTTATATAAAATTAAGTAACGAAGTTTTTGCTGACTTCTTGTTCTTTTTATAAATGGTACACTTGGTATCGTTAGGGGGTAGAAATAATATAATAAACGAATTTAAAAGATATAAGTATGAATTTATATATTATATATATTCTTTATACGTAATAGTCTCCATTTTATCAATATTTTTAACTTTATAATGCAAGCAGAAAAATAATATGCTATTGGAGAGAAATATGGAAAACTCTCCTTAACATGAAATATGGAGATAACGAACAGTATTCAAACTCAAAGTCCATTTAAACAATACAGATCGGGAGCAGAGCAAACACGGAACTCCAAAAACAGAGATGGAATCATTTATTTTTCAAGTGGTAATCCAACTTATACACTGTACTCATAGCTCCCTTTCTAAGGAGGAAATTCTTCAAAATCGTATGTCAGTTTTGAATAATTTTATTATTCCCAACAACCAAAATGAATTTGAGTTACCATATCTATATTGGATTCCGAAACTTCATAAAAATTCTTACAAAGATACATAGCGGGTTCCAGTAATGTTCTACCAAGCCTCTTTCTTTACTTCTCAATAAGATACTAACAGAAGTGAAAGAGAAACTTCAAAAGTACTATGCAACAATATATTCGAGAAGTGGTGTAAATCAGACGCGGATACTAAAAAAATCCAAGGAACTTTTGGAACATTTGAAAACACGAAATTTTACTAAAATCAACAACATAAAATCTAACGACTTTTCAACTTATATACAACTATTCCCCACGGTAAATTAAAGTCCAGGCTTTCTGACATCGTTGACAGCTGCTTTTTCAATGAAAATGGAACTCGTAAATTTACTTACATTGTCATTGGTCATTTGCAAAATTACTTGGTTAACAAACAATCTGATTGTAAACACGAGTACTCGAGTTTCTGATTGACAATATCTATGTGGTTTTTGGAGACCTGGTCTTCCAACAATCTGTTGGAATTTCCATGGGTACCAATTGCGCCCCGTTATTAGCAGACCTATTTTTGTATTCATATGAAGCAGAATTTGTTCAAAATCTTGTACGTGAAAAGAAGAAAACACTCGCTGTGGCCTTCAACTCGACATTTAGATATATCGACTACGTATTGTCAATTAACAATGGTTATTTCCATTCTTATGTCGAGACGATATATCCTGGTGACCTTGAGACAAAAGATACCACAGAGTCTGACATATCTGTTTCATATTTGGATATTTTATTTGAAAAAGACGTTAATGGTAATCTAACAACAAAGCTTTATGATAAACGTGATGACTTTAATTTTGCAATCGTCAACTTCCCTTACCTATGCAGCAAAATATCCTTATCAGCTGCATACGGGGTTTATATCTCTCAGTTGATTCGATACGCAAGAGCATGCTCTACGTATGAACAATTTCTAAAACGAGGTAAATTATTGACAAACAAGTTGATGAAACAAGAATATCAGCAGTCTCGTTTAAAATCATCATTTCGTAAGTTCTATGGTCGACACAGGGAACTTGTCAGCAAAAACAATCTATCATTAAGTCAAAAGTTGACTGACGTTTTTCATAGTTGTTGTTAGATCATTATTTACACACTGAATTGTCGACAGATTTCTCCGTTATTTCCCGATCATGACAAAGAGCACACGGCGGGTGTGACCGGTCGGCAGGGGATGCTCACTCCTCCATGACTCCTGATCCCACCTCTGATGTTTTGGAGATCCTTGTTTGCTCTGCTCCTATTTTGTAATGTTTAATGGACTTTTGAGCTCGAAAACTGTTCGTTATCTCCAGGTATTTCATTTGAAAAGCTAGAATTCTCTGGAAAGCTAGAATTTCTATGCTACATGTATATCCAGGATCCATCCACCGTTTCTTCATGATTTAGTACAAATCTGTGGCCACCAAATTTTATAGCTTAACAATACTTCCAAAAAGGAAAGTATTCAGATGTGCAATTGCAAAAGAAATTAAGATGAAAGTTTTTTAAAAGAACTGAAAATTTATGATTAATTAAAAAAAGAAGAGAAAACACACTGTACACCTGTGCATTGAGATATTTTGGAAAAAGAAAAAAATGAATATTTCTTTTTTTGTCCCCCCCCCCCCTCGAACTTTAACTTGACCATGACATTTGATTGATTGATTGTATGTTGTTTTACGTCCATTTCGAGAATTTTTCACTCATATAGAAACGTCACCATATACCGGTGAAGGGCTTCAAATATAGACCTTTACTTGGCACTCAGGGCCATTAAGCAGTGAGGGTTCTTTATCGTGCCAACGCCTACCGTGACACGGGGCCTCGGTTTTTAAGGTCTCATCCGAAAGACCAGCAACTTTCACTTCACAGTGCCGAGCTCTTGGCGAAGGAACAGTTGCTGCCTATTTTTTATCGACTTAGGTCAGTCGCGGCCGTGATTCGAACACACGTCCTTCCGATCACGGAGTGAGCTCTCTACCGACTGAGCTACCGTGACGACCCTTGACATTTGAAGGTTGGTTCCAGGGCTTTCATATTTCACATGTATATTCCTTACCCTTTCTTTGGGTACCGACGTATTTGAGCTTGAGACCTAGACCTTGGATTTTGACCTTTTTTTGAAAAGAAAACTAACTCATGAGCTGCCATACGGGGGCATTAGTGTTTCATAAACATATCTTGATTGTTATGATGATATTTAAATCATTGAACTCTTTGTCTCATTCTTTAACATATTTTTTTTTATGCCATCTTTTTAAATAAAGTCATTATATTGGCTAGGTAAATGAGACATGTCTATCTATAGACATACACGCAAAAAAAGGACAAACATAGTATGTTTACAATTTTTAATCTAGAGAAGTTCATTTGTAATTAGTTGCCTACACCTTTTTAGTTGTGGAGCAATATGATCTTTGGAATGCAATGCCTAATTAGACTGTTGTTAGCTTATCTGGAGAACCACGGAAAAGTGTAGGAGAAGGGTTTCTAGATAGAAGACATTTATAGGAGATGCGGTATACCTATGACAGTAAAATCTTTGACGATAAAATGTCTTTTGTTGTGGGTTTGAAATAAACTGCAGTGAGTGCCTGTTTAGTAGAAGGTCCTTTTTGAATCCATATAATTATGCCTCTGTTCAATGCTCAAAAGGCAATAAATGTACACTTGTACATAATCTGTAAGAGTTGCTGGTTTATCATATACAGTATTTCGTGATCTTTTAAGACTTTTTCATTTATAATTAGATATGACTATAACAGTTAAATACCTCTTGAATTAGAGAAAATAATATATGCACGATGAAACGAAATGACAACATATGTTATTTAACGAGCCGACGTTTAAGGTTGCTGAACTTTTTGAAGTGGGAAACAATTAGAGGCGCCTTTCTATAATGGTCACAAATAAATGTATACATAATATCAATCTTTCACATTTTTTGTTTTGTGTAACATGTATTTGTGTGTTTATTTACATCTCGGTGCAATTTTTATCGGTGGTATTTAAATTTTCCATGAATGGCCCCGGCATATTGAGTTTAATTACTCATCATTTCGGACTTTTATAGCGATATTTCTCGTGGGAATTTCAAATTTAATATTTTGAATTTCAATCATTAAGAAATTAAATAAATATTGCTATTTTGGTAAAAGACATTAATTAATTTGCATTGGAAAATATATTGCCGTTGAGAATAATTCCACTAAAGTGCTTTTAAAAGAGATGATGCATTTGACAAAAGTGAAAAGATTTCAATTGTATTCCACAAACTAAATTCTGGGAGATAATGTAATCACCGTTCTTTATGAGTTGCCTATTATGAGTTTCCCAGCAGGGAAAATTTAAATCGATAAAACAGCCCTGCATGCATGATTTTCACTGTTTCAATCTTAAAACAAAATTTTCTTGAAGACTTCAAAACGACTCGTGAAGATCAATGACTAGGGGAAATCGAAACATGACATGACCTGACATATATGACTTGTGGTTATCATTTTGCATGATTGATAAAATATATTTTTGCTTACAGTTAGTTATATAAATATATCTTGCGGGACATTGATTGAAATATTTAAATAAATGTCTCGATATGATTTCCAGTAGTATTTGTTTCAACGCAGTCAAAGCATTAGGCCATTCCAAGTTTTTTCTATGTTTAGCGTCCGCGTGCGCCTTGGTTTTTGACACCCTATATCAGAAAAAAACAAAATTGTTTTAATCTAAAATTAACCTAAAATTGTTTAATCTGGTCAATATCTTTTAAATTCTTTTAATTATATCAATTTCTGTAAGTATTTGTCTACAGTAAATCATGTTAGCTTATTTTAAGCATTTAATACATTGATTTTGCTGAAGAATAGATCTTTCTTTCAAAAAAAATAGATTAACGATATCAAATGCTTTGAATGGCGTCATTTTTTAAGACTATAAAGTCTCTGTTTTATTTTTGGGGGTCATGTGATTTTTGCGTATAGGTAGGTAGGTTTTTGAAAGATGGGTGGAAGCTAAACAGAGAAAAAACTTGGAATGACCTTATTGTAAGATCTGTATTGAGACAGGAAGAGAACATTACTTCATTTATAGTCCTTCAATAAAACAACTGAAAATTTGATTAAAATTACAAAAAGATTATTTATTTAGCATGTACTGATTTATAAACAGATAAAATGCTTTTAAATTCACCCGAGCTTTATGTTTGTTTGATGTTTAACGTCCCTCTCGAGAATTTTTCACTCATATGGAAACGCCACCACTTGCCGGTGGAGAGCTGCAAATTTTGACCTATCCTCGGCACTTAGGGACATTGAGCAGTGAGGGATCTTTTTCGTGCCAGCACCTACTGAGCTTTAACCTCATGAGAGGTTTTCTGATCAACCATTGTCCGGCGTCCGTCTGTATGCCAATCCTATTTTTCTAGATCTAACTGCTGGGTCAGTTTCAACCAACTTGGCATGAAACATTCTTGGCTAGAGAGATTCAAAATTATTTTATACGAAGGGTAATTAAATGTTGTCAAGTTCAGCTGAGTCTT